TAGGTTACGCGTCAGGGAATATTTTTGTATAGTGAAATCCATTAGGATGTGAAATCATTTCCAAAGGGAAGTAAGGGGGATTGCTTAGAAAAAAAACAATGGATAAACCCTGCTGTAAAGAACAACCCTAACTGGCAGACAATAGCTTAAATTGCCAAACAAGTATCTCATACTTAATTGCTCTGATTTTTTTTGCCTCCCTATTTTTATTGATATAGGGACCTAATTTTTCTGACCCCTTTTCTAAGCTTAAGCTATTAAACTAACCAACCAGTCTTGTATAGAATTGTATCCCATGCTTAACATTTTGGGGTGCTGTCTTCTTTTGGCTTCTTTCAAATCGATTTTTTAAAGTGCCATGGACTTCACAACATGTAATGAGCAGGTTGCACTGTTGAGAAAGTAATGCCCAAACACAGCAATCCCTGAGCACTGAAGCCTCCATCCAGAATGGAAGTCACTTTTCTAGTCCATTTTTTTCACTCATAAGGACTCAAGGATAAAGTTAACTTATTTTTTTACTTCCTACTGATGTAGGTGAGGCCAGTATTTCATCCTGTAAGTCTGAAGCCCTACACTTTTGAAACATCTTGATGTTTACTTACCTTAACAAATAACCTACAATATTTTTACTTTATGATATACTTTGTAAGTTTGCTAATAGTTGATTCAAATCTAAAAAACGAATGGTAGCTAGAGAGAAGTAACAGTAGGTTGATTCCAAAAGCATACTATATACAAGACTAGGCTACATCACTGTGCCAAAACTCACAATTTCCAAAGCACCAAGTTACATGATGTTTATCTTGCAGACTATATATAGCATACATTTTTTTCAGGAAAATGAGACACATTTTTGTAACTAGCATCTGAACCATACATGTGTGTCAAGGCCATTACTTTATAGTTTTTCAAGTTAACAAATGTTAGTAAAAATGGAATTAATAAACCTTCTTAAAATTGTCTATTAAAGTCCACTTCAGAATGACATTTGTGGAATACAAAAGAACAGTGGTCTTTGTTTTTTTCTCCACAAAAGAACAGTGGTCTTTGTTTTTTTCTCCGCAAACCGTTTGTTTCCATACTTCAAAGGAAAACTGGAAGTCTTTACTTGCTCACATTAGGATTCCAATGCCTACATTTTTAGAAGCCTATATTTGGGTGCCAAACATGAAACCCTTTAAAGTGATCAGAGTATCAAACAGTACTGAGCACATACTTTCATGTTGTGTAATCAGAATCAGTTGTCAATTTTAAAAATTTAGATTTGATGTTACAAAACCTTATATTTCACTGAAAGTATAGATACATACATGTCGTTATTGAATGCATAATTAGTAGCAGTTCTGGTTTACTTTCAACAGTAGTGAGAATGATAGGACTACATACATTGCATAAATATTTAAATTGGCTCGGGACTAAGTTTGATCTTGTTTTCTTAGCTGTGCATGCATATCACTAACCTGACTGATGGTACTCATGGCTCTCATGTAGCTCTCATTCCGGGAACGGAATTTGGGAGAAGCAAGCAGACCTGCAGGGTCTAGACTGTCCAAACTCCTATTGATAGAGACTTCACTCACAGCCCTCAAGTAACTGTGGCTCCGGATCTGAAGCTTTGGAGAGTGTTCACTGGATATCCTTGAAGGAAACAGCAGGAAAGAAACAATTAATCAAGTCCATGTTGCTTAGCTGCAACTGAGAATGCTAATTAATAGTTCAGTTGAAAGAGATTTAAATTAGTTAGAAAAACTCAAATCAGACTATATAATCCTTAGCCATTTGTAAATTCAATATAGTAAATTCAGTATTAAATTCAGGAAATGGTTTACTTCCAGGTCACTTTCTCAAACTTACTTCCTTTCTTGTCTTACTACAAGCTTAGCGTTCATAATAACACAGTCTTCATGATATTTATTGGAGTTCAAAGCAAAAGGTCATGATGCAATGACAACAGGAAAATTTAGCCTCGTGGGAAATATGGCAAGTAGTGCAATGTGTGTGACTCTTAAGGCAATTAGAATGAGATTAGTATTGCTTGCTTTAAAAGTAAAATGCTGAAAGATACAAAGTCCATTATTAAAACAGCAGTAAAGACATGTAGGTGCGTACAATCAAAGAAACAGCTGTCTAAGACATAATATCCTCAACCAATAATATTACAACAACCATCAACAGAATACATGAGAAGGCACAGAAAGCAGTGGCAAAGAAAAGATCTAGTGGAAAACCATGGGGTATTTATACGCTTGCTCTGGGAGGTGTGTGCGTGGGGGGGGGGGTGGAGGGGTGCTTTAAATTAGCGCAACTGCAAGAGCTGCACTAATTAAAAGCACCCGGAGCATCACATGTATCAGCGTCCCTGTGCTGAAAAATAGTAGTGGGGCCCTTTGAACTAAAGGTCATCAAACAAGCTTTAGTTTAAAGCATCCCACTGCCATTTTTCAGTGTGGGGACGTTGATACATGTGACGCTCAGGGCTAGATTAATGCATGGGCAAACTAGGCACATGCCTAGGGCCCTGAGCTTCGGGGGCCTGGCCTTCCCTCTGCGGTGGTGATGCGAATGGCCCCATCCACCTCCCCTCCCTTCCCTTCCCTTCCCTCTGCCAGCCTCACTGCTGCCACAGCTTATTCCTACCAGCGGGGCTCTGAGCCCCACTCTCCATGGTTGGCAGCGCTGGGGGGGGGGGGTCAACTGGCCTGGACCCCACAAGTTTGTTTGCCTAGGGCCCACTAAAAGGTTAATCCAGCCCTGGTGATGCTGGAGGCTGCTAGAGTGCATTAATTT